TCCAGTTTTGCTTTTGCCTCTTTCCCTTGTGTATCAGTTAGGGTGATTCCAAGTGCAAGTAACAGATACCTGGATCAGATATGCTTATTCTCACAACTGCGAGTCTGGAGCTAGGGCAGGTTCCAGGGGGTGGTGGTACGGCAGCTGAACAGTGTTGTCAGGGATTCTGGTTCTTTTTGTTCTCCACTGTGCCGTGTTTGGGGTTGACTTCATCCTCATGCTCCTCGCAGGTGACCACAGCAGTTCCAGATATCACATCTAGCAGTGGTGGTATTTAAAGGAGAACCAGGACTGGTTCTGCCTTTTGCTTCATCTTTAAGAGTAAGGAAGCTTTCCCAAGCTTCTCTCTGACTTCCTCTCATATCTCACTGGGAAAGATGGGTCACACACTCTTGGTGGAAGCTGTTGGTGCCCTCCCTAGCTCGCCTCTTCTGGGCTCTCGCCCTGTCCGTAAGCTGCTGGGACTATGATTAAGCAATCCTGCCTTTTCTGGAGAATTATCATTGGTTGAGTGAGAGCTTCCTCTCTCCCTTGCGGCTTGGTCAATGAGTGACTCACATAGAGGGGTTAAAAATGCTAGCTCCTTTGCCTCAGGGTAATTTCAGGACCAACTCTATCATGCAGTTTTTGTTCTTAAGGCTCCTATAATTTAGCTCAAGCTAAATTGTTAGTTTCTTCTCCTGCATTTTCTGATTCCATTATTCCCTTTCTCCTGAGAGTACTCTCTCCATAAATCACGTGTAGCCCAATTCTTATCTCAGGCTCTGCTTCTGGGACCCCAAGTAAAGACAGGCCCTTTCTTCCATCAGTCATTGGCAAAGGGGATAGGATTACCAGTTAGCTGGGGTTAATCATTTGGGGTTGGATGAGTGGAAGCCAACCACAGTGATCCTTGTACCTTTTTCCCCTTTTTCCTTCTTGCTTTTCGCATTTCCCCTATTTTTATTAATCATTGTCATGGAAATTCTTTTAAGGGCTAAACAAAATGCATACCAATATAAATATATTTTCTTTAACTTTGTGATGTGTCTAAACAATTTGGAATTAACTAGATGTTTTAAAAAAAATTAGTAAGCATTGGTCCAACCTTGGGTTCACCCATTTAGTTTTGAAGGAAGTGATCATGAAACTCCCTAACATTGTCAAATCCATGTTGTCTGTTACTGAAATAAGTGCATTTTTATTTACTTCTTATTTGTATCTTTGGACAACTTTTTGTGGTCTGTTATTTAAAACTCATCTGAAATTATGCTGTTCTACTATGCTGATTTATATGTTCATTTTATGTTATTACAGTTGTTGAAACATGCTAGTGTTTCATTGAAAATTAGTTAGCCAAAAGTTATTGAGTATGTAATATGTGCAGGATATGTTAATCCATTACAGTCCATGTCAGCCTTTAGGATTAGTGAAGATCCCAGTGTTACCCGATAACTTTGTAAGGTAATGATCTTAGGCGCCATTCACTGTGTCTACTAAATGTCAGGCACTTCACATCCACTTTCTCTACTTTTCATTGTAATACCATTGGGAAATTATTATCTTCCCTTCCTACTTTATTAAGTGAATAAAAATCCCGAGTTTAATTTAAAAGAGCTTAAGCAACTTGTCCAGAGCCACACGGTTATAATGACAACAGTTCACAGTTATGGAACATTTATTGTGCTCCAAGCACTGTTCTTAGTGTCTGAGTTTACTCCTTTGATTCTCACAACCCCAGGAGCTGCTATTTTTAACCCCTATTTTACAGCTGACAAAATTGTAAGTAAGAAACTTGCCCAGGGTTATTCATAGAGTAAGTGATGCAGGTGGGATTTGAACCCAAGCAGTTAGACTCCAGAGCTGTACTAAATAAGATTTTAGTTGACAGTTAAAACCACAGTTAAAATTTTATATAATTATTAATTTAAAAAAACTCGATTAAAAAAAAAAACTCGATTTAGCTGCTCTTTCTTAGTTTGAGACTTTGCTTGTGTTTGGTCCTCTTAGGGTAGAAAGTACAAATTTCTGTAAAGACCTGGTATTGTAAAGCACAAATTTGACCTTCTTATCACTTCTATCTCTTTAGGTACTCCAGTTCAGAATGATCTCCAAGAATTTTTTGCATTAATTGATTTTGTAAATCCAGGAATATTAGGCTCTTTGTCATCTTATAGAAAAATATATGAAGAACCCATCATTATATCAAGACAGCCTTCTGCTTCTGAGGTATGATTTATTTTAATAAGTAGGTTAAAAAAGAGCAGTATGTCTGGGAAAATTATCCATAACTTGGGTATTATTTTAATTTAGGAAAAATTGAATTAGTAGATTGAATTCTTTATTTTTCCCATAATCTTGCAATTCCTCTTCCATTTCTTACTTTAGAAAATGACATTATCACTTTAAAAAAATGTATAAATAGGCACTTCACAAAGAATTATAAATGATAGTAAACATATAAAAATGTTCATCCTTATCCTGGTATTGAAAAAATCAGCCAAATAACCACGAAGTAACTTTTGTGGTTTTCTACTGATGTTTTAGTTGGTTGGATTTACACAGTAATAGCAAGTTCCATAACTGTCCTCTTCTGGTGGAATATAAACTGGTATGATGGAGGATAGTTTGGCAATATATATCAAAAGTCTTAAAATAGGATATATGTTGTGGCTTGGCAATACCACTTTTAGAAATTTATTATAAAGAAATAATTATAGATGTGCTTAGAGATTTAGCTGTAAGGGTAAAAAATTAGAAACAAACTAAAGAAAACAAACTAATAGAAATAAAATATTTGTAAAGACAGGCAAATGGTTAAATTAGATTCTGCGTGTTGTATGGGTACTGCATTCATTGAACCTAAAGTACTATTAATTCTAAGATGCACCATTATTTGTTGTACCAGTAAGGAAAACATTCTGTCAATTATAATGTTAAGAAGTCATTGATTGTGAAAACATCCTGTTATAGAGAAATTAGAGTGAAAAAAAAGTGAATCCCAAAATTAATACAGTACCATGATTAGTTAACAAATGTTTATTGAGCATTTTCCATAATCCAGGAACTATATACAGAATAATGGTTTATGCATAAATATTTGATATCGTGGAAAATGTTTATGATACATTATTTAAAAATAAAGTCACATTCATTTATTTACACAACACTTATATATTAGTTACTAAAAGTGGGCCAAATGCTAAGTGCCAAACACTGAGGAATACGATGGTAAGCCAAACTGGTTTCTTGTTCCCATGAAGCTTTCAGTTTGAGATCCTGTTCTGGTTACAAATAAAAATAAAAGTAGAACATCAAATATATTTGCATATTTATGTAACACAATTTTGAAGATATACAGAAAAAGTCTTGTGAGCATCGGTTTTTTCTGGTTGATGAAAGTTGGTTTTAATTTTCTTATTTTTGCATAACTGTATTTTCTCATCTTTCTTTGGTGGACCTATTTCTTTTGTAATAAAAATTGAAAATAGTTTTAAAATGTAAGGGAAATTTTCTATGATTTGTACAGAAACAATTGTGTACATATGGGATTTACTTTAAACTTCACTGTGAAGTTCTATACACTCACGGACCTAGAGATTATCATACTAAGTGAAGCAGGTCAGACAGAGAAACACAAATATTATATGATATCATTTATATGTGGAATCTAAAAAAAAAATGCAAACCAGAAGTAGATTCACAGACACAGAGAACAAACTGGTGGCTAAAGGGGAAAGAGGTTGGGGGAGGGATAAATTAGGAGTTTGGGATTAACATATACACATTACTATATATAAAATAGATAAACAACAAGGACCTACTGTACAGCACAGGGAACTATATTCACTATCCTGTAAGAACCTATAATGGAAAAGAATCTGAAAAAGAAATATATCTATGTATATGTAGAGCTAAATCACTTTGCTGTACACCTGAAACTAATGCAACATTGTGAATCAACTATATTTCAATAAAAAAAGATTCTATATAGAGAATTTATTTATTTAAAAATTTTTTTGTTGGGGGGAGGCAACTAGGTTTATTTATTTATTTATTTATTTAATGGAGGTACTGGGGATTGAACCCAGGACCTCATGCAGGCTAGGCGTGCACTTTACCACTGAGCAATAGCCTCCCCCATATAGAGAATTTAAAAATATATTTCATTCATACTGTATTTTGACTTTAAAAATGTGTTATTATTTAATGAACAACATGTAATGATTTTGAAAGAATCAGCAGTGCCTCATGCTAGTCATTTCTCGTAGGCTTAGTTTTAGGATCAATAACTTATCAAAATAATTTCTTCCAAGAATTTGCTGTATTAGTTCTATGCTAATGATTTTAAGGCTATGTACCATTACTGTCTTCACATAAAAGTTTGCTTTCAGAATAATCCAGTTTGTAGATTACTTATTTCTAGTGGCTCTCAATGAAATTATGCTGAACGTTGAAAGAGGTCATAGTTGCTTTTCCTATTCTAACGTTATATTTCATTTCTTTTGTTAAAAAAAATCCAAAGGGAAGCAATTATTAGATGGTTAATTATTATAAAATGCTTAATGTTCATTTTAACTGTGTGTGATTTTTTTTGTCTAAAACACTTCTACGTCTGCTGCTTTTCCAGGAAGAAAAGGAGCTGGGGGAGAGAAGGGCAGCTGAGCTTACCTGCCTCACTGGGCTCTTTATCCTTAGAAGAACCCAAGAAGTCATAAACAAGTATCTCCCACCGAAAATAGAGAATGTAGTCTTTTGCCGACCAGGAGCACTGCAGACCGAACTCTATCGAAAGCTGTTGAATTCTCAGGCTGTCAGATTCTGTCTTCAAGGATTGTTGGAAAATAGTTCTCATCTAATATGCATTGGAGCCCTTAAGAAACTGTGCAATCACCCCTGCCTTTTGTTCAGCTCTGTGAAGGTAAGTAGCGTGTGAGGCTGTGTCAGGAGTTTGAGCTGAGGATTGTGTCATATGAACCTAAGAGGGCACTTGTGAGTTTTCCACAAGCTGTGCCGCCTCTCCAGCGAGCTTCTGCCCCAGCGCTCACCCAGCCCTGCTTTTTCCTCAGAGCGTGTTCATAGCCGCTGAGCTGAACCAGCGATGAAATGGGTCTGAGGCTCTGCCTTCTGGAGTGTGTGCCCCGTGCCTTTAGTGCTCCGTCTACTGCTTGGTCCTAGTTTCCCTTCCTGTTTTATATAAACATAGCCAGTCAGTTTTGTTTGTTTCGTGCTAGTAAATAGAAAGTTTATCATTAAAAATTACTTTTTCGTATTATAAAAGTAATACATGGTTGTTGTATGAAACTTAAAAAATCACAAAGAAGCCAGTAGAGACCATGTACTAGTTAGAATGTAAGTTGGTACAACTGGGAGATAGTTTGGCCACGTTGTATCAAAAACCTTAAAATTTTATGTATCGTGTGGCCTGGCAATACCACTTTGAGGAATTTGTTATAAAGACATCTCCAGACAGAGAAAACCACATTTTGGTATTAATAATCCTGGCTAGCACTTATTAGGCAGTTACACTGTACCAAAACACTAAGTACTTTCCTAGTATTATTTTGTTTATTCTTCACACATTTCTATAGCATAAGTTCTGTCATTACCAGCCTCATTTTGTGGCGGGGAAACAGGAGCTCAGAGATAAGCGTGTAATCTTTTTCTAGAGAAACTTAACTTCAATGATGCTATGCTTATTATTTAAAAGTCGACTTTTTTTTTCACTAAATAAGTTGTGGACATTTCCTCAAATTAGATGCTTTTTACAAGTATGATTTTTAATGGCTACATAGTTGAGCTGCCCATTTGGATATTTAATGAAAATCAGGCAGTTTGGAGTGCGGTGAGAGTTTTCTGTTTTGGAGTTGGAACTAGGTATCAGTCCCCACTCTACTACTTACTAGTTCTTTAACTAAGGGCAAGTTTAACCATGGTCAAGTTACGTCTGCGAGCCTTAGGCAGTCTTAACTGGAAGGCAGAGGTGGTAACAACTTCCTGATAATGTTTTTGTGGCAATTTGATGAAATAATATGGAAAGAGCCTAGCAGAATGCCTGGCTGCGGAAGTTGTACATTAACTATCAATGCCCTGTTATCCCTAACTCACTCTTAATTTTTATTGTTTTATTTTTTTCTTTAAACAGTAAAATCATAATTTGCAAGCAAAGCAAAAGAAAACTTGTGGGTGCCATTAATTATATTATTTATTAATTAATAATTATTAATTAATTAATTACTTAGGGAATATGGTGTCTTACCAGAATTCTCCAAGTTTATTCCTACAATGGATTATATTTGCATTGTTTATCATAGGAGAAGTCAGCATTCTGTAACTTTGCAGTAGACAGGATTATAACAGTTTATTAAGCAACTTTTAAAGAAGCAGATTCTATACACAGCGATAAAAATTAAACTCTTTGGGCATAATGCCCAGCAGAGATAGAAGACAAAATATTTCCTTAAAAGGAAGACCCTTTGATGGCCCAGAATATACCACTTAACTAATAATAGGCATAGGGATACTACAAACTTCAAATAGGGTACACAGTTTACAGTCAGAGATTCAGTAAAGCCTTCCCTGTAACATCATAGCAAACAAGGATTGATATAAAGTGGCTGAAATGAGCCTGCACATATAAAAGTAAGTAAACTTCAAGCAGTGGCTTATAAATGTGCTCCTATTAAAAGCAGATTGTTTCTCAGGTTCAGTCAAGGTGATGTACTTCTCTTCAAGAAATATAGGTGGGATATAAAAAAAAAGTTTACAACTCACAACTGAAGGGTTGCGTAAAGTCAGAGAAGAGCCTACCCTGTCTAGTTGACGTGAGAAGACTTAACTGATAAATCTATGCGATGCACCTCCATGTGTCAGGCCTTCGCAGTATAAAGGTATTATCTGTCAGGTGATTCTTAATTAGGGCTACACATTATAGTCTTCACCAAGACTATTTTCCAGGCCTTGACACATTCGAGCTGATTCAGAATCTGAGAGTAGGACTCAAGCCGTGAAGATTTTGCAAAAGTTCTCCCAAATGATTCTGATTAACGTGTTCCTGGCTGAGAACTTGTGCATTAAGATCACTCATCTCCTCTGTATTTTGATTTACTATCCATCAGACAACTTTCTGCTGATGATATGGCTTCCCCATTGAGCTTTCATGAGACAGAATGCATAACCAATTGATTTAAATAGGCAGGTCTCATTCATAGGTCAATAAATTTATATTCTGACTTACTCAGTTTCTTAGTTTGGTTAGTGTGACTCATATCCCTAGAGCTTAAGCATATGCAAGTTTCTGAATATGAAAAGCTGTGGATTAGACTCTGGGTCTGTGGTCGTTGGATAACTTTGCCAAGGTGTATGCATTTTCAGAAACCTAGCCCAAAGCAGCTAGCAACCATCTCTCCTCTCGTATATTCCAGTGATATAAATATCTTAGGGTTCCAACTATTTTTAATCAAGTGACTTTACCCAAACATTGCTCTATTTTGGGAATAAGCTAAATTAAAATTAGTACTTTGCGCCCAGCTTTTTATACTACATGACTCACTGCCCTTAAGATATTTCTATTATTATTAAAGAAGGACTACAACACACATGAAATTATACTGGGGAATTATAAAAACACAAAGTATATAGTTAATTGCACAATTAAATAAATTCAAAGTTGAAATGTATTGTGTAACCATAAAGGTTAAGACTCAGTGCCCCAAAAAGGGTGGCTATGAGTAATCAGGTGGAATTTGCGTTCGGTCCTCGAATATTTATAGGATTAGGATAATGGGGCAAAAAAATGATGACGCATTCCAGGCAGCGGGGAGTAGGCTGAACAAAGTTTCAAGGACAGTGATAAATCTGGTAAATGTGGGCAAGAATGAGAACTGCCAATCCCAGAAATTTAACCTAAAAAAGCGCTGCAGTCATTAATAAATGTAATCTCCAGTTATGTGTTCACATGTCAGCCAGTCAGTTTTGGAGGGGAAATTTCAGAGGGTGGTGATAATCTTTTTGGAATAAAATTGTTCTAAAAACTATTGGTAAAATAAACTGTTTTAAGTAGGAATACATTTCTGAGTTAACTTCTTGGTAGAGTTGTTTCTTCTTGTAGAAGAAATTGGTAAGACTGAGTCAACAGTTGTGCTTTGATTTTGATTATCTAGGAGGTACTGTGTGAGCCCACGAATCAGGAGATAAAAGTAACGGCAGGGAAGGAAGAGAGATGAGGCAGCAATGATGAGGAGTCTCAGGGTTTTGGAGAGGATTGATTTCCTGGCACTCTTTGCCCTCTCTTTTCCTCTCCTTTATTTCTCTGCTCTCCGCCTCCTCCCCCCTCAATTACACACAGACAGTGATACTGCACTTGTGGGGTTCAGGGAGCAGTAATCAAAACTGACCAAATTGTGACCTATAAAGATTTAGATAACAATTAGATTGGGCTTTTCAGGTAGCTATTAATAATCTTCAGGTTTTCTCCCATAATTTTAGCATTTTTTCCCTCCCAGATAAAAAAAAGATAAACATGAACCAGCATTAATAATCATCCTTTTGAATAGGAAAAAGAACATAGCTCAACTTGGGATGAGAATGAAGAAAGGCATCTATATGAAGGCTTGATCAGTGTGTTCCCTGCTGATTACAACCCTCTCACGGTTACTGAGGAGGAGTCAGGAAAACTTCAGGTGCTGTCAAAGCTCTTGGCTGCTGTCCACGAACTTCGTCCTGCTGAAAAGTAAGAGGCCAATTTAAAAAACGGCTTTTAAGTGTTGGTGGAATTTTGGCTTAGGCTGTGTCCTTACTGCTTCCCCTCCCTGCCTCTTTTTGAAAAGAAGAAAGCATTAAAAATAAGTTGTTTTCTTCTTTGGGCACATGGTCAGCTCCCAGTCTTTTGTAAACTTAACATTAACAATGTGTAAGTTTTTACTTAAGAAAAACTAAATGTAAAGTAAATACATATATTGAAAAAAAAAAACCTAGTGATGTCTTGATACGTAATACCTAACTAGTTTCTTTATCTCTTTCAGAATCCTTTCTTCTTTTCCTGTCCCTTAAATGCTGGTACTCCTGAGGGTTTTCTGTTTAGCCTCCTTCTCACTCTGATCACCCTTCTTGGCTTAGCTCTCCTCCCCATAGTTTCAGCTGTCATCCATGTGGTAGTGATTATAAATCTGTATCTCTAGTCCAAGCCTCTCTTTTTCTTTTTATTTAAAGGGCATCTGAATCTGTCTGGATGCCCTGTTGGACCTCAGTCCTCACGTGTCCCAAACCAGCTTCATCGTTTTGCTATTGCAGGTTTCATCCTTTTTCATCTTTCCTTGGCTTGGTGAATGGTACCATAATGAAGCAAAAAATCCTCGTCATTCTAACTCACTTTTCTCCTTTACTTTCCTGATGTCATTAGTCACTACATTCTATTGATTTCGTTTCTTAATCTCAGGAATCCTTTCAGATACCAAGATTTTTGTTTTGGTTCTGTAATTACTGATTAGATTATAATGGTCTCTTATAAACTACTTCCCTCTTACTTTCAACCACATTGAATATCAATTTGCCCTAAATTATATTTCCTAAATACTAACGTGAACATGTATTTTCTTAAAAATCATTCAAAGATTCCCAGTTGCCTTCCCGAAATTTCTAAACTCTGTAGCACATTAGAAATCTAAACTGTGTAACTCTTGACTTCGTGACCTGGCTGGTACCTCCTTTTCCAGCCTCATCCCTCTTGACTCCTTCATACTTACCATGTGGTCCAGTCATATCAGACTATTTGCAGAACCTATAATTTGTTCTGCTTCTCACCCTCTCCTCTCGCATGGTGCAGGTTCCTGTGTCTGGCGGACCTCCACTTCTCATTTGTCTGGCCAATTTTCTCTTCCTTAAGACTCAGCTCAGATACTTTCTCCTCTTGGAAGCCCCCGGCCTCATCTTAAGTTAGATGCCCCTCTTCTGTCCTCCTTTAGCATCCGGTACCTCCCTCTAACGGAGCTTTTCTCACAGTATGTGGGACTCACTGCTTCTCTTCTATGTCAGCACCTCTAGTGCAGGGACTGCGTCTTAATTATCTTTGTAGGAGGTATTCAGACTGTGTTTGAATTAAGTAAAAAATACATACAAAAGATTGCAAAATAATTATATTTAATTATCAAGAAATCTTAATCTCTTTGGAGCATTTATAGTATCATTTGACTTACGTGAATGTTTAGATTTATTTTTCATAACACTGAAGTGATTAAAACAAGGAAACTTTCTGTGAACTATTTAGTACAGACTAAAATCAGCACAGGTAAAAGGAGCACGAAGCAGAGTCCAGGGGAGACCAGAAACAAGCTTCCAGCTGTCCTCTCCCACTGGAGTTGTATGGATAACACTTATTTTCCTAGAACTGGTGAATGATAGCACATGTGGAAAATTGTCAACCAGAGCAGTTTACTTGAGCCTTGGTGTCCAGAGTTTTTGCTGGAGGTCAGTCATGTAGGCATGGGGCACCCCCGTGACTGATAGATGCTCAGTCTCCAACCCCTGCAGAGGTCAGACTGGCCCAGGGTCCCCACCTGAATCACACTGTTGGCATGAACTGTTGGGTGTGACCCAAAGCCCCAGGTGAACTAAAATGCTCTTATTAGGCAAGATATTCCAAGGACTTAGAGTTTATGATCATTCTCTTTTTAATTTTTTGAAGGCCCTCCATACTATAGCAATTTTTCTTCATTCCTTATGGTTTGGATTATATTCTTGATGTGCCTTAATGTGGGTCATTTTTTCATTTATTGATACGGGAACTTTTTAGTAGATCCTTTTAATCTGAAGACTCTATGTCTGGAAAATATTCTCTTTCTCAAAATGGTTTCTTTCTTTTGTTTTCTTTTGAATTTCTGTCAGTCATACATTGAATCTTATGGATTGATTCTCTAATTCTTTTATCTCTTCTCTCCTATTGGTTATCACTTTTCCTTTTTAATCTGTTTCCCAGGAGACTCTTTTCTTATTTTCTTCCAACTCTCCTGTTAAATGTTTACTTGGCCTATCATTTTAAATTTCCAAGATAATTTTTTAGTATCTTGATCTTTCGTATTGCCTCCTGTTTTTTTGAGTGCTATCTCTTATTCGGGGCTATTAATTGTTTCCGTAAAGTTATCTTCTGTTTCCTCCATTGCCCTGTTTTATTCATGTTTCTTTGCTACTGTTAATTTGTTTTGGTTTCTATTTTTTGCATTGGGGACTTGCTTTAAATAGCTGGTGACCTTTGGTGTGTGCATGGGCAGGGCTTGTGGCCTGGTGGCCCACAGTGGGTAATAAGGTAGCGAACTGGCTTTTTAATTTGGGGATTCCCTATCTGTGGACCTTTTCTCTGCGGTCATTCAAGTAAATCATTCCAGAGATGAATCTTCCAATGTCTTTCTTGGAGTGAAATGTGAGAGGGAAGCCTGGTTGCTGGTGTTCTGGGAGAGCTGGCAGGCAAAGGAGGCTGGGATCTTACCATCGGGTATGCAGACTTTCCTTTTGCTTTGTAACTGTATCCCTGCCTTCTAGATTTCCCTGGTCTAACTTTCTTTGGTTTACTTTGTCCAGAGAATACACATGCTAGTTGAGAAAGAAAAGTCACTTGGTTACATGGGAGCAGGGCCTGGATTCTGCTTACCAGGACTCCTGTAATACAGCTCCAGCCTAAACCCCTTCCTTCCAAGGGGCCTGTATGAGAGTCTATGGTGTGAATGAACGGGTACTTGTTTCTTACTGGAATCTCCCTCTTTGGGCACTTAGGTTTCACTTCCTCTGTGCTCCTAAGTAGGTTACCATTCTACTATTCTCTGTTTTTAATATATAAATGTCTCCTTGATTCTTATTCTCCTACTGTTCTTAGGGTGACCTCAGAGAGAGAAAGAAAGGAGGAAAGTCTTTACTATCTTAATACTGGAAGTGTCTTAGATATTGCCTTTAAAATTGAATTTGAAGAAGAATCTGTGTTTTAATTGTACAAGATCATTGTTGGATATTTGATAAATATCAGAGATAATGTTATTGTGGTATTTTCTTTCAGTTAAAAAAATCTAATATTGCTGTTAAATTGTATGTAAAGATTCTATCTTTTTGATTGACAGGGTGGTGTTGGTATCCAACTACACAAAAACCTTGGATATTTTACAAGAAGTATGCAAGCGTTATGGATATGCTTGTACAAGACTTGATGGACAAACACCAATCTCTCAAAGGCAGCAAATTGTTGATGGCTTTAATAGTAAATACTCTTCTGATTTTATTTTTTTGTTAAGTTCAAAAGCTGGTGGTGTGGGACTTAACCTTATTGGAGGGTCTCACTTAATTCTCTATGACATTGATTGGAATCCAGCCACTGATATCCAGGTAGGACTGTTTTATGCATTAAATAAACATTATAGAATGTCTGTTGGGGATACAGTGGCTGCTGGGGATGTGAAGATGATGGTGTGTAATGACTGCTCATATTGAGCCCTTATTTTGTATCAGGCACTCTGCTAAGTGCTTTCTGTCTGTTGAGTCTTCACAACAATCCTAAGTGTGGATACTATAAGCCCTGTTTTACAGATGAATGTATGGAATCTTGTTCTAGGTCTCATAGCCTGTAAGAGGCAGAGCCAGGTTTCAAACCCAGTCATCTAATAAGCTCGAATTCACTGTGTAGTTGGGCCTTTAGAATGCTCATGACCATCAGGGGGAGACAATAGAGTGTGACAGATGTTGTATGATCAATCTTTGTACAGGGTATAGTGAAGGTACAGAATTGGCTTATTTAGGAAAATATTTCAGAAGAAGCTTTTGGTTTTCTTTAGAATATAGTCCATCCTCATGTGCTTTGAGATTTCTACCTAGAGATTTGCACCTCATATGGTACCTGTGTTACGCGACTGGGAGACAACTCTCAGGTTCAGTGATTCACTAGGACTCACAGAATGGAAAAAACCAGCTGTATTCATAGCTGGGGTTTATTACAGTGAAAAGATACAGACATTTACACCACAGGTAAAAGGTGCATAGAGCAGAGTCCAGGAGAGACCAGGAGCAAGCTTCCAGCTGTCCTCTCCCACTGGAGTTGTATGGACAGCATTTCATTTTCCTAGAACTGATGAGTGATAACACGTGTGGAATATTGTCAACCAGAAAAGTTCACTGGAGCCTTGGTGTCCAGAGTTTTTGCTGGAGGTCGGTCATGTAGGCATGGAGCCCCCACGTGACTGATAGGTGCTCAGTCTCCAACCCCTGCGGAGGTCAGACTGGCCCAGGGTCCCCACCTGAATCACACTGTTAGCACAAACTGTTGGGTGTGACCCAGAGCCCCAGGTGAACTAAGATGCTCTTCTCTGGCAGGATATTCTAGGGGCTTAGAGTTTGTCTTCTAGGAGCTGGTTGAAGGCCAGACTTTTCTTTGGAATGTGTGGGGTTTGGACATCAGCCTTTTCCTGTGTAGTACCATTGGTAAGTCCTGAAGCCACAGGGATCTCCCTAGAGCCTGAGCTGATTACAGGTATCCTAGGGACTCCTTCGGAGTGAATCATTAGCTACTTGGACTGAGAATAACCCCCCATGCCCGCGCTATGCCTAGTTCTCTGCGCTCTTGCTGTCCAAACTCACTGTCCCATTTTCTGATGCAGACAGACCCCTCTCACTGTTGTGTAGCACCTGCAGCTACTCTGTGGTACCACAGTGAGTGCTCATCCATTCCTTTCTTTATCCCAGGAAGGAAATACGAAGCAGAAAATGCTTAGCTATGCCTGGGCTTTGCTGTTTTAAGCTATAAGTGAAATCTAGAATTCCCAGTCTTAAATGTATTAACGTAAGTTGCTTATGTGGAAAGGGTTCTTAGTTTCTGCTGTCCTCTCAGAATTCTCATTTATATTCTATAGGCAATGTCTAGAGTGTGGAGAGATGGTCAGAAACATCCTGTACATATTTACAGACTCCTAACCACAGGTAATGACCCTTTAGTGTGACAAAAAAAGATATTCCCTTTAAATAATTAAAAAAATTTTTTTTGTTAATCTGTGCTTCAGTATTAGGAATACCGTTACGCTGTTAACCAGTATGCTAATAAACATATTTTACCCTACGGAAATAACAGATGTAGTTCCCTGTGACTATACTTCAATTAAAAAAAAAGTAAAAAAAAAAAAAAACAGATGTAAAGATCTAAAAGAAATGTAATGAATGCTCTCTCTCCAGGTACAATAGAAGAAAAGATCTATCAAAGACAGATCAGCAAGCAAGGTCTTTCTGGGGCAGTTGTAGACCTAACCAAGACATCTGAACATATTCAATTTTCAGTAGAGGAACTTAAAAATTTGTTTACATTACACGAAAATTCACATTGTGTTACTCATGACCTGCTTGACTGCGAATGCACAGGAGAAAATCATACAGGTTAGTTGCATTCTTACTCTTTTATGATAGTAAAGTTAATTTGTCTCTCTTTAAGAGATGAAATGTTTTAATATAGAGTAACTAAAATATTTACCATTTGCATATATTAACTTTCTTTTTTTCTCAGGACATAGGGCAGCTGCCACATGGGTATTTGAGAAAATTTTAGTTAGAACCTTATTCTACCAATTTTGCTTCTTATTTCCAAATCAGTTATGAAAAATTTGACTTACTTGGTGAAATCTTTCAAATTCTGATAATAATGACTTCAGAATTAGAAAAATGTTTTTAATCCTTATTTCTATTTCACAAAAAACATACACTTGATAGAATAAGCCTACTGTTTTTTTAATTTTGTGTAGGACGTAATCCTAATGGGGTCGTACTTCCTGGGGCAGTTAGCGTGGGCCACCATACTTCTCAGTACTTCACTATCTGCTGGTGCTGCTTAAATGAAGCTGAAAGCGTCAACCCTCTAGAATTAACACCATTCAGATAGGAGCTGGCTCAGGAGCAGGAGTTGAGAGAGCAATGTCCAGTAGTTGGAAGTCACTTTATAAATTGTATGGAGATAGGTTTAAGAAGTGAAACTGTGCAAGACTGACACGGAAGAATTTATATGATCCACATTGATCTTCTGTATTGTATTTTTTCTGTTTTAATAATTTCTGCTTTTATTATCTCTTCTCTTTTTCCTTGTATTTGTCTATTTTTCTAGTTCTATCCTTAGCTTAATGATTTTTAGTCTTCTTTTCAAAAAATGGGTATTTAAGGCTGTACATTTTCCTCTAAGCTGAATCTCATAATTTATGCAGTCTTTTTATTATTCAGTTCTAAATCTTTTTTATTTTCCATTATGATTTCTTCTTTGGCTTATGAGGTATTTAAAAGTATGTTTTAAAAGGTATTTTAGTTTTTGTTATTGTTTTGTTATTTAGTTTTGTTATTTAATTCTGGCTGCTGCACTGTAGTCACAAATATTGTCCGCATGATAATTGATTTCTTTGGTAGCTCTGGAGATTTGGTGTATGGCCTGGTATGTGGTCACTTTGTAAATGTTTTTCTTGTGCCTGAAAACGATGTATAGTCTCTTAATTACTTCATTTAGAGTTCTTCTGTATTAGTCACATTTTCTGTTACCAAATCAATTTTTTCTTATTTTACAGATTTAAAAATTTACTAATTTAACTGATAAATTGGTAATATCATAGCTCAGCTACTTAAAAATACAAAATGTATATGGTGAAATTTCTGCCCATAATACCCTCATCTGCCTGGTTTCTAGCCCTGCTATCCTGTAAGAAACCATCAGGGTTAGTTTTTGTATATCCTTCTAGATATATTTTTATGCATGTGCAAGGTACCCTGAATATATATTCTTGCCCAGTTTTCTCCCCAATAAAGGGAGCATAACGTGTATAGTTCTGTTCATTTCTCATTTAACAGCATGGCTTGAAGTCTTTACATACCACTACAGAGTTTCCTTATTCTTTCTTTCCCTCAGCTCTGTAATCCTCCATTGTGTGAAAGACCATAGTTTATTTATCTGACCCCAGAGCTGTATAATTAGGTTCTTTCCGGTCAGTATATACCTTTATTCATACATATTTTCTATATTTTCAAATATCTCTATAAGGTAAATTTTCTGTGTTGCCGGGTCAGAGAACATGGGTATTTGTAGATATTTTAACAGGTACTGCTAAAATGCTCTCCACTGGGGGTTATAGCATTTATACTACTTGTCCACAGCTTTGCCAGTTTAGGATTATCAAGTGTTTGGATTTTTGCCAGTCTGATAATTTAAAAAATAGTCTATCGGCTTAGTTTTAATTTAATTTTCTTTTGAGTGGAGTTGAGTATAAATTTTCCTATGGTTAAGAGCTGTATTTCCTTTATGTGAACCATCTGCTCAGATTATTTGGCCATTTTTCTGTTAATAACCTAAGTCGTTGTTAGACATTTCTGTTAATTGAAAGAAATATGGTAAAATCTTGTAGTGTGACAGTGGGCTTGTCAGTTTCTCATTCTGTCAATTTTTGCTTTGTATATTTTATATCTTTGTGAAATCTTTTCGTTGTTGTTTATTTTGTCTCTGTGCAGTGATTGCTTTATCTCTAACGTCTTTTGCTTTCATTTTGTCGTTAGTTGATCTATTACGCTGGCTTTCTTGTGGCTAGCATTTGTCTGGTACGTCTTTTTGCATTCTTACACCTTAAATCTGTTCGTGCCCTTCAGCTTTAGGTAACTCTCTTGTAAACAGCGGGAGACGGGGTTTTCTTTTTCATCCAATCTGATGTTCTCTTTTAACTACAGCCTTTAGTCTGTTTACATTAATTATAATTATTAGTGTATTTTGATTCATTTCTACTGTCTTTCTGTGTTCTTTTTCCTGTTTCCCCCACAAGGGGCTATTAGTAGTTAAGTCTCTCATTCTTAGATTTTTCAGTGTGTTTGTTTTGTCTCTCTCTTAGATACTATCTTTGCTGGGTGTGCAGTTCTAGTTGATAGGGTTGTTTTGTTTGTTTTATTTTTTTGGCCCTTACTTTCAAGATACTATTCCTCTGTCTTCTAGATTCTCAAAGCAATCTTGTCATCTCTTTTCTTACAACCTCAGTTTTTGTATCTTCAGCTCTGTTTGGTTCTTCTCTGTATCTTCTAACTCCTTGTTAAACTCTCACTTCTCCCGAGTTTGTTTAGCACCTTAATGATTATTACCTTGAATCGTTTATTGGGTAGATTGCTTATCTCTGCTTCTCTCAGTTTTTCTTCTGGAGTTTTGTCTTGTTCCTTTGTTTGGAACATATTCCTTTGTCTTCTCATTTTGCCTAATGCTTTGTGTTTATTTCTATGTATTAAGTAGCTTGGGTTTTTCCCAGTCTTGGAGAAGTAACCTTATATAGGAGACATCCATTGGAGCCCATCAGAGCTGTATGCTCCAGGGGTGCTCCCCGTGTGGGCTGCATGGTCCCTTCTGTCGTGATGGGGCTGACTAATGCAGGTGCCCTGGACGGTGGGCTGGCCTGGCCTGGCTGACTGCCAGGCTCACCTCGTGTGCTGGTGCTGGCCTGCTGGTGGGTGGGGCTGGGTTTCTGCTTGTCTAGCTCTGGGCCCACGGTTCCCAGGACTGTGTTGGCCTGCTCGTGGGTGAATGAGCCCCTGGTTCTAATAGGCTAGATGAAGGTCTCCACAAGGATGCTCGCTAGCACCAGTGTCCTGGTGGGAGGCCAAAATGGATGTTCCCCTGGGAAATCCAGTTACCTTCTGCTTCTCCAGGAGGCTTTCCAAGATCAGCAAGTGGGTCTGACCCAGGTTCTTTTCAGATTCCTGCCTCTGCCCTGGGACTTGGAGCATGTGAGGTTTTACATGAGCCCTTTAAGTGTGGAGTCTCTGTTTCCTGTGGTCCCCCGGCTTTCCCATGCACAAGTCCCACTGGCCTTCAAAGTCAGATGGTCTGGCGGTTCATCTTCCCTGTACAGGAGCCCCAGGCTACAGAGCTTGATGTGGGGCTCAGGCCCCGTGCTCTGTGGGGGGAGCCTCTGCATTTGTGATTACCCTCCCATCTGTGGGTCACCTACCCAGGGGTGTGGGTCTTAACTGCATCTCTGCCCCGCCTACCTATCTCACTGTGGTTCTTTCTTTTTATCTTTGGTTGTGGGGAATCTTTCCTGTTAGTCTCACGCCATTCTCGTAGATAGCTGTTCTATAAATATCTGTAATTTTGGCGTGCCTGTGGGAAATGGTGAGCTCAAGCTCTTCCTACTTTGGCACCATGGCCACTCCCTCACCCTCAGATCTTAATGAAACAGGTCAGCTTCTCCTGTTACACATGCTCATGGTCCCCTGTGTCTTAGCTTCATACCCTTAGCTCTGTTTGTAATACAGCTCCACATTTCCTTATCTTCAATTTTGAAATCTAAGAAGCTTGAAAGACCAAAATTTTTCCCCCTTCATAAATTTGCAACAATCTTATTCAGTGCCAAAAACCTTAGTTGAATTTATGTGAATTTATCAAGTCTTTTATCTATTTCATACAACTATTCATATGATTTGCACTATTCATATGACTTGCTGCAGAATATTAATGAGTTTGATTATGGAGTGTTATCCCACGTTGTTCCAATTATATTCTGAATTTGGGAACATATCTGGCTCCAAAGGCTTTAAATAAGGGACTGTGGACCTGTAATACACCCCTTTGGATGGTTATTTGTTGAATATATATTTCTTCCAGTAGACTATAAGGTCCTTGAAGTCAGAGACCATTTTTCCTTTTGTTCACCATTTTGGTTCCCATTGCTCAAATCAGCACACAGTAAACACTTTATAAATATTCATAGAAGTAATGAATTAGTTGAATTTGTTTATTTTAACATGAACTATGGTGATCAAATGTAATAAATCACATAAACTCATTATATAATAAAAAATAGGATATTGAGTGACCTAAGTAAATTTTCTCATTATTTTACTTATTTCAGGTGATTCATTGGAAAAATTCCCTATCTCTAGAAATTGTCAGCTTGGTCCACAACAACAGAAGTCTAACTCCCTGAAACCTCTCTCCATGTCACAGCTGAAGCAATGGAAACATTTTTCTGGAGATCAGTTAAATCTTACAGATCCTTTTCTCACAAGAATAAGAGAAAATGTGTCATTCTTTTTTCAGAATATAACCAATCAAACTACTTCTATATAATGAAATATTACTTTATGACATTACCTTTTACTCTTCTTTAAAAAATCTAGTAAGTAAGTATAATTTTGGGTAACAAATAGAATCATTTTAATTATAATGTATTTTTGTTGCAAAATGTATCATACTTTGATACAATAGTCAAAACTTTGAGTTGTTTAATTTTTGGTTTATATTCTTAAATATTGAAACATTAAAAATATACTTCTATCATCCTATAGTTGTTTATTAATAATTCCATAATTGATACACTTTTATTAAGTACTTTCTAAGGAATTTTCTTGGGAAATATTAAAAAGTGATAAGCCCAGTCTCTGTCTTTGGGAAATCTAATCTGATTAGGAATACTAGACATGGATGTGTGAGATGATTGAAAATTTTGATAAGTTTAAACTATAGCTCAAGGGAGAAAGAGAATCAGAGACTAGGATTACAGATCTGAAGATACTGGATGTAACAGTCACTGCAGGGCAGTTTGGGTGAGAATGGCCTGCAGGTTGTGGAGGGGAGGGAGGGATACTGGGCACTTCAAAGCCCGAATTTCTAATCTGGGACCTCAGACTCCTGGGGCCTGACATGCAGCCTGTAAAGCCATGCATGTCCACCAAGCATTGCTTGTACACTGGATAATGGTTCACCTACCATTCTGTCAAGGGTTTCTGTAGTAATCTGGACATTAAAAACAGAGTTTTAATGTGCAAAGCAAGCTTTAGAAGAATGAGGTCTGCAGAGAGAAAGGAGTTACTCATCCAATCTCCAATGGGGCTTCTGTGATCAGCTTTTGCTTCCTTTTAGGAAAATTTCTTTTAGACTGAATATAGTCTTGAGGCGTCAAATAAAGAGTCAGTTACATATCATCAAATCTGAGTTCTTTAGCTATGTAGTGCCAAATGTAGTGCTAAATGTAGCATGCAAATGTAGCATACAAATGTAGTGGGCATTTGTACATCTGGGGTTCATGAACTGGCAGTTTGGGGACCAGATTTGTCAGTGAAGAAGCAGTAAACTAATAAAAAGCAAAAATGGTGTTGCTTGGCCCTATGTATAGGCCTCTTATATGAGGCCTTACACAGAAAACTTTAAAAAAAATTTTTTTAAACTTTTTTTATTGAGTTATAGTCATTTTACAATGTTGTGTCAAATTCCAGTGTAGAGCAGTTTTTCAGTTATATATGAACATACATATGTTCATTGTCACATTCTCTTTTGCTGTGAGCCACCACAAGATCCTGTATAAATTTCCCTGTGCTACACAGTACAATCTTATTTATCTATTCTACATTTTGAAATCCCAGTTCCTTCCCTCCCCCCGCCCCATTGGCAACCACAAGTTTGTATTCTATGTCTATGAGTCTGTGTTTTGTATGTATGTATGTATGTATGTATGTATGTATGTATGTATGTATTTTTTAGGTTCCACGTATGAGCGATCTCATATATTTTTCTTTCTCTTTCTGGCTTACTTTACTTAGAATGACATTCTCCAGGGACATCCATGTTGCTGCAAATGATGTTATGTTTTCGGCTTTTATGGCTGAATAGTATTCCATTGTATAAATATACCACATCTTCTTTATCCAGTCATCTGTTGATGGACATTTAGGCTGTTTCCATGTCTTGGCTGTTGTAATAGTGCTGCTGTGAACATTGGGGTGCAGGTGTCATCCTGAAGTAGGGTTCCTTCTGGATATATGCCCAGGAGCGGGATTCCTGGGTCATGTGGTAAGTCTATTCCTAGTCTTTTGAGGAATCACCATACTGTTTTCCACAGTGGCTGCACCAAACTGCATTCCCACCAGCAG